AATTCAAGCAAACTTAAAGAGTAGAGTATTTTTAAACCAAGAATGGAAAAGCTTTTTGAAAAACAATGAGCTAAAGTTGTAGAAATTCTTTTTCAAGTATTTCAAAAACAATTTGGAGAACTAATAACAATAAAAATAGAGGTTCGACCTCTTTGCCTACATCCTCTCCCTTATATCACTAAAGAGTTTAGAATCCACTATCTAAAAATGCTTTTCTAAAACTAAGCATAACCCTCACAATAAGTCTTTTCAAAGGTTTAGACTTAACCTTTCTACCTTTTCACTTAGTTAAGGTGCAAACATCAACAACACTATCTTTTCAAGGTTAAGATAAAATCTTTCGAGCATAATACAAAAAGGATGAAAAGCAAGCTCAAATGCCTCTAAAAGGCTGAATAATAGAATGAGTACAAATAGAGCATGAAGGCATTTGAAAGAATAAAGAAGTTTAAAGCTCAAGGAGCTCAATGAAAAAACTCTTTGATTTTGAGAGTGATTTTTGGAGAAATCTTAAGTTGGAGGTTTCACTTTAGCTTAAAGATGACGCTCTTGGTTTTCTCTCTCTTAGAAAACATGCAAACCTCTATTTATAGGTAAGTGTCCTAAAATACCCATTTAAGGACTAATGCTTCAAAAATTAGTCATTAAACATGTCTTTTTCTAGCTTATTTGACTTGAGGTCTCGATACCTTCGAAGCATGTGTCAATACCTTGTTGCTTGCATCAACTAGAGTCTCGATATCTTTCTTTTATGGCTCGAAACCTTGCTCATCCCTAGCATTCACAGACTGAAGAATGTCTCGATACATTGCAGCCAAGTTTAATACATCTGATGTTACTCTCTAAAATGTCAAATCTAGAAAGAATGTCTTGATACTTTAAAGGTAGGTCTTGATACCTTGGCACCTGCTCTTTGGAAATTGAAGTCTAGTGATGATGTCTCGATACTAATCACTCAGGTCTTGATACATTTAGACTTGCTTTCTTGAAATTGAAGTCTAAAGGCAAACTCTTGATACCTTGAAGACAGGTCTTGGTACATTTGCACTTGCCTTCTAGAATTTCGGACTTTTGAGATGATGTCTTGATACTTAAAGGCCATGTCTCTATACATTAGCTCCTACCTTCTGGAATTTGGGGCTTCAAAGGTGATGCCTCGATACTTTTGAGGAATGTCTCAAGACTTATACTTCCTGAAGCAGTTTTTAAGGCATTTTAAGCTTGATGTCTTGTTACTTCATAAAATGTCTCAATACCTGAGCATTGTGAGACAATTTCTAAGGCATTTTAAGCTTCAAACACATAGCCATTTTTTCTTGTGAATGCTTAAGGGGTTTTGTGATGTTCAAATACACTTTAAAACTTATATTTTGATCATTTGATTTTGTCATTCAAAATAAGATCAATTGTAAAGCTAACCAGATGATTATGGATGTAAGCCTATATAAGTGTGTATGAATGGTTTAAAATTTTCATGGTATTTTTGAAATAAGACTTATGAGCTCTGCCTTTCTCTATTTTGGTGCAGGGTTGTAAATTTTTTTCTTATCTCACCCCCTTGAATGTGACTTAAGGTTTCTTTATAATTATGAAATTGTTTTATAGTTTATAGGATAGTGATTAATAAAGATTTTTATGTAAGAATGACAAATTACGCATTATAGCTACTCAAATGTTAAAAAGAGCCATTATGGTTTGACTTAATCTTTCAAGGAACAGTCTTCTTGTGTAATTAATATCCCTTTATCTATTAATATTCTAGTAAGACATTGAACATGGCTTAATGTTTACTCTGTGTTGCATATGCCTTATCAGCAATTGTTAGTTGTAATCAACTCCTGTCTCGATCAAGGACTCGTTTAAGTTAGTACTTATCAAGATGTAATTGGGATATTCTCCTTAGTGTCATTTAAGGAAAGGAATCTTCTACGATCATTCACTAACTTTCATGTACTTCATGCTATATCCAATATACATGCTTTATGAACATGCTTGGTTATGACCACTAAAGACAATACCAAAGTAGAGCACTTCATACATAAAGCAACCTGATGATTTTAAGTCTAAGTACCACTTACACACTTGTCACGTGAGATTTTATTCTGTTAACACTTGAGTGAAATACCATATGAAATTCTAAGTGTAGATTATATTCAATAACTTGTTCATACAACAAACACCCACAAGTTTATTCTAATATCCTCGTACTTCAATTTGTAAAATCGATTGCTTACTTTACAAGCTAGGAACATAATCATGTACCAATCTCTCAGCTTTATCAATGTTCAATCTCGATCAGATATCAACTAGAAACAATTTTAGGAATAATAGTTTGATATAATAACAATTTCACAATTATAATACTTTATAATTTCCTTTGCAAGCCATATCTTATTCCACGTAATCTTGTTTGTTTATAATAACATTATAAAAGTAGTATTTATATTTGATGCATTAACAGTGTATAATTTCTATACACTGTTAGGGCATAAGATCATGCCACCTCTTTAAAAAATAAATTCAAAATTTTAAACGACTTAAAAATAAATATTATTAATTTTTTTTTAAAAAAAAAGAAAAACAATTATTTATCTCTCTAACTCTCTCTTATTCAATCTCTTCCACTTCTTCCCTCAACAACAATAGATTCAAAACCCTAAATTCTTTTTTTCTAAAAGGTAAAATCTTAGATTCTTAATTTTGATTCTTCAAAGTAATATTTATTGTACTCATGTTCTTAATTGAATTCTTAATATTGATTCCATTCTTCTATTTGAAATTATTTTTAAAAAATGGTAATAGATAATGAGGTAAAATCTTTTATTTGTTCAACAATGGCTAACTTGCCTTGAAGTAAGTTGAATGAAAGGGTGGAAAAGCAAAACATCAGCCTCAAAGAAATATAATTACCTTCTAAGAATATAAATGCAGTAGGTCCCAAACCTACAGCACATAAAAAATCTATAGAACTAAGGCTTTCTTTCAATACCTAACAAGTCCACATATTCAAGTTCGTCAGAGATTAAACAAGACGAAACAAAAATCTGCCCAACGCAACGTCCCTTTAAATCTATGAACAGATGAACGCAAAAGATCAACCCTAAGCAAAAATTTGTAAACAAAAATCCATTTTCCTTCTTTACAACATGAGTCCCACCAGATTATCATATTGAAACTTCATAATGATGTATTCATAGTGTGAGTTTCAAAGGTGTTCGAAAAGCTTCTTTGTTAATCAAATAAAAGTGATAAATAAACAATCATAATATATAAAAAATAGTAAAGTAAAAGGAAGATTGAAATAAATATTATTTTCAAGAATCAAAATCAAGATTTTAGAGTTTTGAAATTATAACTTGAGAAGAAAAACATGAGAAGAAGAGATCGGGTGAGATTGAGTTCGAGAAAGAGAAAAAAATTATTTTTTAAAATAATAATATTTATTTTTAAGTGCCTTAAAGTTTTAAATTTATTTTTTAGTGAGGTGGCACCATTTGATGTCCTGGTAGTGTATGAGAGATATACACTGTCAGTGCATCAAATATAAATCCATAAACATAATGAAAAGATCAAATGCTTATGGTAACATAATTTATTCATACATTAACACCTTCAACCTTCTCCCTCAAAAAAAGTAGTTGTTTTCTAAGTTTTTTGTGTCATGAAAAGTATGCTTACTACTTGTTTTCGTAATAATTTTTTGACCACGAATTTTTTGAATATCAATAAGTGTGTAAAACATCCAAAATCAGGATTCTAGGTTATTAAGAGGTTTTGAAGAATCAATAATCATAAAAAATTCTAAAATTATGATACTAAAATCACTCCAAATAGTTTTGAAAAAAAAAACCAAAAATTGACAAATTTAATCCAATAAAACTATTTCACAATTTTTTTTAATTCATTTTTTTTCTTACAGTTGTTAAAGATTTTAGCCAAATAACGCCTATCTGCCTGATCCATGGATAGGTAGCGAGTGATTGTGCATTCTTAACTCTATTAAGCACAAAGTATTAATCAGTACGTATAGCTTTATATAACTGCTTGTAGAAGGTTCTTTTAGTAGTAAGAAAGAACGTATTGCAATAAGTAAAATGGAATGCACTAGAGGTGACAAAGAGGAAATTTGGAGCAGACCTTGAAGCATAAGTGCTTTTGTGGCACACGGTTAGGAATAAGAAATCAAGGAGTAAATGAAGAAAGCAATGGAGCAAGATGGATAGAAAAAGTTGAGTAGAGAGAATATTTAAAAGAGTTTCTAGATTAACCTTTGATGATTTTCTGATGCCTTCCAAACTTCGAAACTCTCGTATTTATACAAAAATAGAAAGGCTTTCTTAAGAGTAGTTGGTAGAACGAGAGCAATTTTAAAAGAACACGTTCTATATGAACTAACATGCTTATTATGGGAAGAGCACATCCCCTGTGAGAAAAGTATCTTAAAGAACGACTTATTAGACATCAAAAGAAGAGCCATAATTCGATAGTGTTTTTTGAAAAAACTTGTTTAAGAGAACACACTTGTTAGGACAAAACACGTAATTAAATAATACGCATAAATTTTGGATAGCGAGATAATAACACTTAATAATGTGCCACATGTACTCTTAAAAAAGAAAAAAAAGGATAAAACACATATACTTGAAAGAAACATTTAAAAGAAGTCCATCTAATCCACTAAGTTAAACTCTCTAGAGCATCCCAAATATGAAAATAACTCATGAATCTTACCACTTTTGAGTTATTTTCAGTTCTTATGTGATAGCTTTTCCAAGCTTGTTTTTATTTTATAAGACAATACTTAAGCAAATAATAATTAAATAAAATTGAACATCTACACTGATTAAATTAGAGCTAATTAGATACAGCTGCAAGCTTGAGCGGCTAAATATATAAGTAATCAAGCATGCCAAGTCTTGTCATGAAAATGGAATAGAAATCATCTTAGAATGCATTTCAAAAGTAAACCAGTTGGGAAATAAAAAGATGGGAATAAGTCATCGACAAGCAAAAGTTTGAGGTTCTTTAATCAATGCATCATGTAAGTCTTTTCAGTGCAAACATGATGGCTTTGTATAGTGGCAGCGGACTGCTAGGTCTGCAATTGTTCACAGGACATCCTCTTCTCACAATAGAATATATAGCCAAAAACCTAAGAGTAAAAAGCGGGTGCTTAGTTCAACTTTGACGGTTGCTACCTTCTACACCTCTTGCCCATATTCCCTAATGTCCTGGATAAACTATCAGAATCATTTAAACACTCAACAAGCAACTTCTTCCTGAAAAGGACCTCGGAGTGCTAAAATCCTACCCTTACACAACCACTGTACAAACAGAATCGAGATCTATCAAAAGCTCTTGGAGAAACTTAAACCCATAACATAAAGTGTTTTCCATCAAAAGCTCTTCGAGGAACATAAGCCCATAATCAGAAGAGTTCTATCACATAGCTTCGTTAATGGTGCACACCGTTGCCATTGCTGTACACACCATTTAATGAACCATTTGAAGACTTGAAATAGTTCCCATTTTGCTGGGCCTTAATAGTTGCTTTTCCATTACTTATCCCGTTTGCCATTGGTTTGCTAAACTGACCAGAATTGTGTAGAAGTGAATCCAACTGCCCGCATGATGCTGCAATGAGACCTGGAGATTTGACAAAAATATGTGTGTATAATATTCTGAACTTGATTTTCACAGTTCAACAGATAATTTTAGTTGTAACTTCATGAAATAAAGATATAATCATGAGACACAGCAATATATTGCAGAGCATAAGTAAAAGCAATATTCCTACATGCTAGAGAAGTGCAATTTTCACAACCGAACAATTCCCAAAGACATGGTTCATCAGATAGTATAATCTTGTATACAATAAAGTCATGACAAAGATAGTCATGATTCAAGATAGTCCCAATTATGTACACGATCTATATTGCCAAGAGTGTGACTATAATGCACCACGGAAAGAAAACTCCAGGTTGCAGATTCCAAGGCAGTTGACATAGAAGTTTTTGCTTCTTCAGCATTCTAAATGGGCTCAGTTATGGCAACTGCCCACTGTGTTATGTTGCCAAGATATCGTGGAAATTTACAGTTCAATTTTTTTTTTTTTTTGCATTGGATAAGAATTAAGAGCAACAAGAAGAACAACAACAACACTGGGCCTTCTATTTTTTGCACATAATAAAATGAGCAATATTCCTATATGCAGTAGCCCCTATAATTTAGCTTAAACTGTTGCAATGACTTCTGAAAAAAAATGTATCATTACCAAATAGAGGCACAACACCTGTAAGGACTCAAATACTTTAAACAGCAAGCAATTAGGCTGCAACCCATACAAAACCTTACGCCAGATATGAACAAAATTATGGATAAATACCTAAGAAAACTGCAGAAGGTTTTCCTGGCCTGGATTTGAATTCAGGATGAAACTGAACACCAATAAAGTATGGATGGCTTGGTAGTTCAACAATCTGTGCAGCCAACATACAAATGCTTATAACCAGCAGGACTAAATACTATATATAGAAGTACAATCGGTACAAATGTTAAGCATAAAAAGTCTGGGTTTTGATAGAGATATGCTGTGCTGCTTTTGTATGTACATACCTCCATCCTCCTACCACTTTCATCTCTGCCAACAAATGACAGACCTGCTGCTTCAAATTCAGATATCATATCAGGATTGACCTACAAAGAATGAACCACAATTTTTAAGAACTTGAAAATAAAGTAATAATTCATCTTCCCCCTCACTTATAGCCTCCCATGCTCCTATGCATGGGTAGACTATTACCTCATATCTATGCCGATGCCGCTCCTCAACAAAGTTTGCATTGCCATACCTAGAATAAAAACAACTATTAAAAATATGATGCATAGAATATGAGAACCTCTAAATAATTTCAAGAAGCATGTAACATCTTATATAAAGCATGCAAGTTTAACAGAGCCATGGTCTCACAACTTCACAGATTTGCAGTCAGGAACCTTGAAGTAAGTCCTCCTTGATCCCAGACGCATGGTCCCTCCCATATGAGTTTTTGAGCCCTATGAAATAAAACAGTACACATTTCTTCACTGAATGGGACTAGAAAGGCAAAATTGTTTTTGTCAAAAATGATATAAACTTATATACCTCTGGCATAAATATGACACAAGGATTTGATGTTTCAGGATCAAATTCTGTACTGTTTGCATTATGCAAACCTAGAACCGAACGTGCATACTCAATGACAGCTATCTGCATCCCAAGGCAGATGCCCAAGAAAGGAACTTTTCTTTCACGAGCATACTTCGCAGCGAGAATCTTCCCTTGCACTCCCCTATCACCAAAACCTCCAGGAACTAAGATACCATCAGCACCCTGCATTAAGAGTCCATTTAGAGGATCTTTGATTAAAACAGCTTTAAATCAAGAGAAAGGGAGAATATATAACCCAAAAAGAAAAAAAGAAATCATTCCAAGGCAATTCATGCAGTGAAAAAACCTTCAAACGATTCCATGCTGCTTTATAAACATCAGGATCCTGCAAGGAGTAAATTACAGGCATTGTAAGCATATATGTACTACAAGTAAAAGTGGGATGGAAATATTTTCTTAGCAACAAAAATTAATAATAAAAAAATATACTACATGAAAATCAGTGCAGCAAAAATTTACAATCAAAACATACCTCTTTAGCCGTAATATCTTCAAGATGACCTGCTTCAACCCACTCTACAACCAACTTCTTGCGGCAGCCAACAGATGCATGCAAAAGTGCCTATAACAACAAACCTAAAATATTGGAAACCATTTGTATTGCATGCCTATTATCCTTCTACCTTTAGATCCACTTTGGCCTGACTAAAGCTTCAGTAGGAATTGCTACTAGACTAGAGCCACTCTAAAACTGCTACAAAGAGAAGCTAAGATAGCATTTGGCAAAC